AAAAGCCCGACGTTCGTACTGGACTCCACGAAATGCGGTCTGTTGCCAAATCGCCCGAAGGTGACTTCTCACCTGGGTGTGTCTGTACTATAAACTGATTTTCCAACCCCTAAATCTCAGACGCAAAGGACAAACCTATTACAATAGTTACAAATCAAATCAAAGAAAAAGCACGCAGTCTCCACACTACAGGTTGTAATGCGTCATAAGCAGAGCCGGCTTAACAGCACTATGGGTTCATGTACAAACCAGTGTGCTGAGGCCCCATTGACAACTTCCTTACATTTGAATGTTGGGGAAGTCAGTTGAGATACATGTATTAGCTTAGGTTTGCTATGCTTTTTTAGGGGGCGGGAGAGGGCAGAATAGTGGCCTCACCATCCTTTACCGCAGTACAATGGTGGGATTACCTTTGGTATGTGATCTGCAAGAGCAGTACAAAAGTAGCATTTAGAGCCCCATATATGGTATAGGTGACTGTGTAGAAGCATTACATGGTGGCATTACCTTGGTATGGTGATCGTGCAAGAGCAGTACAATGGTAGCATTACCTTGGTATAGTGACTGTGAGAACAGTACAATGGTGGCATTACCTTGGTATGGTAATCGAGTAAGAGCAGTACAATGGTGGCATTACCTTGGTGTGGTGAGAGTGTAAGAGAAGTACAATGGTGGTATTACCCTGATATGGTGACTGTGTAAAAGCAGTACAATGGTGGCATTACCTTGGAATAGTGACTGTGTAAGAACAGTACAATAGTGGCATTATCTTGGTGTGGTGACTGTGCAAAAGCAGTACAATGGTGGCATTACCTTAGTATGGTGACTGTGTAAGAGCAGTACAATGGTGGCATTACCTTGGTATGCTGAGCGTGTAAGAGCAGTACAATGGTTGCATTACCTTGGTATGGTGACTAGGTAAGAGCCAGAACTCCTCGTCCCAGGAGACCGTCTCCTCCACAACGTGCATCGCCCGCACGGTCTGGCAGGAGCGGGAGTGGCGCAGCAGGTAGAACGGCTTGTCGGCGGGGAGGTTTATGGGTAGTGTGGGTAGACTGTCGTTTCTAGTCGGATAAGTTTAGGACCGGGTCAGACAAGTGACCAATAAATGATGTGAACAAGGAATGACTTCAGTCGAGCTGACCACAAAAAACACTACGTTTTACATACAATCTAACTTAAAAGTTCGACGGAAAAAACGGAAACGACGCGCACAAATGTTACCAAAAGTTTCGACCAAAGTCTTTATCAACGGAGTACAAAATGATATCATGTCCGTTGAGTGTTCCAGTCACAGGTTGTGTTGTAATAAAATAAAGATTAAAGTCTAGAGGATCTTCTTCAATGTATCGGCTTTTGTCTTATATCTTAGAGTCTTTCTCCCCACAGAATGGCTAGTCGCCTGCAGCTGGTATTGCACAAACTAGAACACCGCGGCTCCGGTGACAGTCCCCTAGATCTCCGTAAAAATTGCACTGGTGAACCGAATGCCGCCGCCGTGAAACATGTCCACGACATTTGGAGCGTGAGGGTTGTAATGAGTGTTCTGCTGATAAAGACTTTGGTCGAAACTCAATGTCTGTTCTACAGAGTTCTTCTGTTCAACGAAAGATGTGGAAGTTTTGTGCAAGAGACACGATCACTGGATTCATTATCATCACTAAAATCAGAAAAACATGATCGCAGGCATCAGCACTGTCAGCATCATTATTGTCACCGTCAACATCATCAACATCTGGCTGTCATCATCATCATCAACAACATCATCAATATTAACATCAGCATCATCATCATCAACATCATCATAAACATTATCATCAACATCATCATCAAAATCATCAGCATCATCAACATCATCAACATCATCATCAACATCATCATCACCATCAACATCAGCATCACCATCATCATCAACATCATCACCACCATCACCATCATCAACATCATTACCATAAACATCACCATCAACATCATCAACATCATCACCATCAACAACATCATCCCCGCATCATCCCTCAACCCCTCCTCACAGCATCTCCCCCATCAACATCAACACAACATTTATCGGGAAAATCATCATCAACATAATTAAATAAAAATCAACATCA